TTCAAAAATGATATATGATTGCACAGTGTATTAAAGAAGCATGCCAGAGTAAAAACTGTCACAATGTTCTGTGATATTCCTTATCAAGTAAAGCCCAAATTTACTGAGCTTCATGGAGCAGGGGTAAGACAGAGCTCTCTTCTTTTGTGTGTATGTACTTTGAATAGAAATTAAAGTAACCAGCTTAGCCTTTTCCACCCACCTCTGAATGTCAACTTCCTTAAATTGAATAGTATCGTGTATGTAGAATTTTTTTATCTGCTTACATTTTTCAGTACAGCAACAAAGTCCCTAACTTTCCTGGGAGAGAAGGGGACTATAGCTGTTTTCAAAGCCCAGATATCCCTCTGTAATGTCATTTTTAGAGTTCACTTTGATTAACATGTTAATTTCCTCTTAGAAAAGCAAACAAACATGAAAAAACCAAACAGGAAACTCCTCCCATCCTGTGACTGGGAAGTGATGACTGTGAAATTTGTCTTTATTCATCTAATGCTCTGCCTATAAGGCTACTTAAGTGACTTCCAGGGAGTGCTGTGTCTTCTGTGTGCTAAGCATCACATTGCTTTTAAGGCCAAGCGACTCATGTTTTCAGAAGAGCTCTATTGTCTGTCGGTTACTATCATCCTCTTTTTAAGCATAGTTAATGTTGAGGTTTAGTAAATAGATTAGTGTAACAGTTTCTACCCTAGAGATTGCACTTTCTCCTTAATGTTTCCCTTTCATCCACTCTTCTCTTGAGAACTTCCCCTGCATTATGCCAGTACTGTTCCAAGGGGAGTCCCTGTAGTTACAGCAGACCAGCTTTCTTAGAGCAGAAGGTTTTTTTACAGTCGCTGGCCTTTAGACCTTGCACAGAGGCAGGCAGTACCAGACTACAGAGCTGACGTTAATTATGCAATGTGACGGAAAATGAAGACCCTCCCCATGGAAATATATCACACTACGCTTGAAGTTAAGCAGCTGGTTCTCACTGAAACACTTGTTACTCTGGAGGGCTGGCAGACCTGAGCCCAAGAGCTTGGCTGTAGCAGGTGGGAGAGATGATGAGAGACTGCAACACTCAAGGAAGCCATTCCCCTGCACATGGATTCTTAGTATGTTGGTATATCATACTTGTATATGGTAGCAAAGAAAGTGCAGGAAGATGCCAGTAGATAGGAAGCCAAAGGAGAGGAAATCTCAGCTGCTAAGGGACACTGCTTTCAGTAAAATTGTTATTGAAAATAATCTTTAGGTGTAGTTAAATATTAACAGTGATATTTTTATCCTTAACTCTTGATATCCCTACATACTGAAATCATAATTTACCCAAAGTGTAACAGAAAAGAAAGTTTGTTGTGATAATTAGCGGTCCTTTAGACAATCAAGTTCACTACTGGTGCAAGTGATGTATCTCCGTTGACTCTGACAGAATTTTAGCCACTCATGGTGATAAGAAATTTGGCCTTTACTATTTAAAAGTTCAATAACAAAATGAAAAATGGTATGGGAAACTTTAATTTTATATTTGAAAAGTGAGAAGTTGATAATAATGATTTTCCCAGGGTTGACACTGATTGAGTCTAGACTTGATGAAGTCACATTCCCAGACATACTGTTGTCAAGCCTAAAGCCTGAATTTAGAGGCACAGTAAGGGTGAAAATGTGCGAGCTATATGAGGGTGCCAGAGTGGAGCTTCAATTTTGCTGCACTCTTGACCGAAGGGAGAGAACATGAAATATGTGAGAGCACTGATAGGAAGAATATTTCTGTCTAAGGGAAAGATCAGTGACCATGAGCAGAGTGAGGAGTTACGGCACAGTTGTAATTAAAAGCTGAAGAAAGAGTAAACAGTCATAAAATTCAGGTTTCTATTTAGTCTGGGCAAGTTTGAATCCCGAAAGAGGGAAATTAAAGACACTGGATGTCAAAGAAGCAGAATGAAATAAAACTGAGGGCAAATAGTTTAAAACATTTTATAACAGCACATAACTAACCTGTGGAAACCCTTTCAGAAAATATGATGATTAGAAAGCTTAGTAAGAACAATAGCAGTAAACATTTATATTAACATGTGTCCAGTTCAAAGCTTACAAAGTAAAAATTTAGCTGGAAAGCTTTAGGCTTAGTCATAAGCCAGCCTGTCACTGACAGGGCATTTCCCGTAAGGACTGATTATTATGTATTTATTACTTTATTAATCATTATTACAAGGTCTGATTTAGCTTATTGAAACCAAAGAGTTGGACCTTATACTGTTGGTTTAGTTCAGTCAGGCAATTCCCATATTGCGCTGTGTTGGCACAGAAAACAGAATCTTCAAAAAACAATTTCTCCCTGGACTGCAGGCCTGGGATATGTAGAATCCACAACCTTTGCTTCCTTATTCGTTCAGTTTGGACAGATACCAAAAGATTTCTGGAACTTTTTGTTGTCTGCCAGTAAAGAAATGATAGGCGTAACCCTACAAAGCATGCTGTGGTTGCTTAGTATCTCGTTAGCCTGGTCAGCTTGGGAGGAATCATTAGAACAAAACCATACTATCGTCTGTAAAGGAATGGGGAAAAGATACGAGTTATGTGTGCTACCGTGCTGACAAGGCTTGTCTGGGACATTTGACATTGCCCGGCATAGAGCTGCTGGTGTACTTTTGGGAATACCCGCAGTAGTAGCTACATCCCTTAAACTCGCAAGTATTTCTGCATGAAATGAGTGCAAACTATTGAACTCGGAAGTGAGGTGGTTTCAGAGAAGTTGCCTGGCTACATTATTATGCCACTTCAACCCAGCTGCTATTTTCAGTGAGGCTTTTTGTGGGGTAACGTGGCTACGTGACTTCTGGACTAGAATTAGATCACTTCTGGCATTTTAGGAGAGCAGGCAGTGCAGACGTGATACCGTACTGCTCATGTGGATCTGTCACGATTGTGCGCAACTGTTCATGGGTTGGACATGAACAGAAATTTGTGTACAATCCCCTTGAAAATATCCTGTTGTGTGTTAGTCGTACAGCTTTTTTAGGAAGTCAGTGAAGACGGATAAATCTGTAGAAACTTGAATCCAGTGTGGACTGAGGAAATTAGCCTCTTCATCAACCTGAGTGGTTATTTGTTGGCTTGAAATTTCTTTCTCTCTCTTTGCCAGAGAGCTGTCTAGTGATGTAGGACCGGGGGGAATTTTAGGCTAAAATAAGAATCCAAGGTCTCTTTGAAAGTCAAATGTAATATTAACATCATACAGCTGTGGATAATTCTTTAAAATGGTTAAAATCTTTTCTTGAGGCAAAACATATTTAATTATTGCTCCCAGAGCCCTCAAGAAGCAGTATGCAAGGAGAATACCAATACTTGGTATTTGCCAGAAAAAGCTGTACTTCCAGAGTATCAGACAAAATCCTTAAGTAGATACGATTCAATATCTTTTTCTGCAGTCTCTCAGAGAAGTCTAAGAGAGGAGATGATATTAGGATGGTCACATTTAAATAGAGTACAGAGGAAGCCTGCCAGGTGCAGCTATTTAATTTGGCCCTTTATAACGGAATATGAGGACACTCAAAGATAAGAAAAAGCTGTTTTAAAATTGAATTGCAGTAGCATTTAAACACGATGAATCATCTAGAGGTTTGTTATAGTTTCCAATTAGTCTTGTCCTTTAGGAATAAAAAAGAGGACACTTAAAGCTAAAAGACAACAATTGTTAAATCAGGAAGGTAAGAAAGTAGATTACCTAAACCACATTTAATCAATTCGCAGCAATCTCTTGTCTACAGGCTGTTATTGAAGCAAATAGCTTAGTAATTCTTTAGAAAGATGTCAGAGTGAGAATAGTGAAAGTACTTAAATTAATTGAGATTATGGGAAAAATCTAATTTTGTTAAAAACAAATTGTATTATACAGTTATTTGTGCTGTGAAAGTAGGCTATGTTTTCGTCTCAGACATCAGCAATAAATACTATTGGAAGCAGGATGCTTGACCAAATAAGTAAGAGAGGTGCTTATAACTTCTGCCCTTTCCTGAGCGTTGTTTCTAACTGGGCTTGCTCCAAAACTTGCTTATAGTTCTGAGGTTGAGTCAGACTCTTTATAGGCTCTCACTGGCTTCAGTTGTGCTTGAAGAGGTCTTACCAACAACTGAAGGCACCTTCTTGGACCAAAAAATCCACCTCTAGAAGCAAGTACTGCTGTGTTCCTCATGCTTATACTTCAGGTGTGCATGCTGGCTGTAATTAATCTGTTCTTAATGCTTCATTGAGAATAAATTGGTGAGTGATGTCTGTGCTATCCCTTTGCATCTCTTTCTAATCCAGTCTAAGACCCCTGCACATAGCAGAAAGGTCAGTACACAGTCATGTTAACAGGGAACAGTTATAGCTTGGTTTGGTTTGGTTTTTGGTTTTGAAGTGACGTTTGGGTATTGATGATTACACTAAAATGTGCTTAGTTTTTTGCATAGATTCAAACTGCTGTTCCGCAGACCAAATTAACTCATGACCTGTTCACGTCTATAACCTTTATCAGTAGTAACTACCTACTGCTCAGTCTTAATCTTCAGAGAATTTAGGGATGATGGTGATTCAAGAAACAAATCCTATCATGCTGTTAGGTAAACTGTGTATCTTCTTGTGCTTGGAACAGTTATTAAGGGAGTTCTGTGTGTCCTTCCATGAATTATTTATAGTAAAAGTAAAATAAAAGAACCATAGTTTGCAAAAGGTGACTGCCAGCCTGACTTCACGTTCAGGCCATTTGTTTTATCTGTGGATCAGGATCTGCGTACACTACTGTTGGCTGCAGTTCACTCTGGAGTCATTTTACCATCATCAGAATCCAATTGCATACAATAATCACTTCGTGGAAATCACAAGGTCTTTATGCCTCAATCTGAAATATGAAGGAAGAAAGCAAACATTAGAGAAGAAAAAACATTGGGTAGGGCTGCCCAAATGGTTTGAATTAAGATAAATAGGCACACTGCATGTGACTGGCAACTAACAATAATTTCATTTGATTCACCTAGAAAAAAGAAGAATGGAGAAGAAGAACAGCCAAAGTCCTCTCTCAGTAATCAGTATCGAATTGTTACACCCACATTCCAGTATAATATGGACTACAAGAAAGTTGGCAAATGTATTATTATAAACAACAAAAATTTTGAAGACAAAACAGGTAATGTTCTTTCTTTGATGATACTCGTTACAGACTTCAGAATTTTTATACTTTCATTAATTAATAGGCATTTTATTTTTAGGACATGGAATTTTAATGAATATATTTATCTTTTTTGAGAAATAGTTGTTCCTACAATTTATTCCTGTTCTTTAACACTTATATTAGAGCGGCTCTTTGCAGCTTCTTGGCAGCATCAGTTTCAAAGAGCATGTCACCTTGCTCTGCCAACTTCAAGCTAAACCTTTGTCCCAGAGTTTAAGGCTGTGTTGTTAAAATTTGAACTTTGGCATCTGCAGCCCATGTTATAACTTCTCTGTCCCTGAGCTATGAGCTACAAAAGCTAATAGCTGTAGCTGTGCTCTGTTCACACTCCTGCATTTAACTTTTCAGACCATGTACAATTTCAAAGCAGACAGATACTTGTGTTATAGTCACCTTCATAGGTCTTTTCCTATAGACTTGGCAGACACACTAGATGAAGTGTTTACTCCAAAGAATTTACATCAGTTTCTTTTAAGGGGGCATCATAGGGACACTTTTCAACAGTTTTTCCTTGGGGCACTTTATGCATATGTTACACTGCATAACCAAAAGGAGATAGAATCATCCGTAGAGGTCCTATGTTGCAAGGTGCTGGAGGCACGCCAACATTTTTCAGGATACGATATGTGTTAACATTGAACCTTGCATTATTTTACATTAAAACAAATCTTATAATTTGTTCTCAATGCTGAGAATGCTGTTAGAGGATTGTTTTAAAATCACGTCACCATGACATTGTTTAGATTTATTAATTATAAACCTAAAAATTTACCTTTGCACACGTGAATTATTTTGAATTGTGTAATGTGCAGTCAACCATATTCTTTGTTTTCTGGCAGGAATGGGTACACGCAATGGCACTGATAAAGATGCTGGAGATCTAGCTAAGAGTTTTAGAAACTTGGGTTTTGAGGTTTACATATACAATGACCGAAGTCGTGACGATATGGAAAAATTACTGAAGCAAGGTAAAAATTTAGAATTGTAGAATAATTTAGAGTGGAAAAGACCTTGGAAGTCACTGAATCTACCTCCTGCTCAAAGCAGGTCAAATTAGAACAGATTGCTTAGGCCCCTCTACATGCAATTGTCTGTATAGAAGGATTCGGTTTCTGAATGGCTTAGACTTAATTCCCCACCTCTTCCTCCAACATCAATTCAGAAATACACAGTTTTCTTGTTGTATTAGGTGAAGCGCCTGTCCTGTGTATTAGGTGAAGAGCCTTGTCACATTAGATAGAGTCCAGCCTGTTGACTCCAGTGGGCTAGGCTTGGAGACAAGTGAAGGATGCATTCATGTATTCAAGGTGCTCATCACTACTAAAAAGCGGCTTGTGTCATCTTTATCCACTCCTTCTTATGCCTTCTGGTAGAGGCCCGATGTATATTTAGTCTCAGAAAAATGTGTTTACTAAATATAATTTTCATTTAAAATGTTGCTTCCTTTTGACTAAGAAGTGTTTGATTTGTAGCTGCTGAGGAGAATCACAGTGATGCTGCTTGTTTTGCCTGTATCCTTCTAAGCCATGGGGAAGAAGGCCTCATCTATGGCACTGATGGACCCATGGCTATCAAGAGTTTGACTGCGCTATTCAGAGGAGACAAGTGTAAAAGCCTTATAGGCAAACCCAAATTATTTTTCATTCAGGTAATAGCCCTAAGGTAAATATAGTATCCTACTGCTGCAATGGGGAAAACATGCTATGTTGGTTGTCTGCTCTAGAAGAGCCCTGTAGATTAACTTCCTGAATTTTGCAGGAGGTTTTGTGAAAAAATGTGTTGAGAGGAGTTGACTATGGGTGACTTGTGTTGTTTGTTTTTAAAAGATAATTTATATACAAGATTGACAGTTGTAAAGAACATACTGTCATTGTAATTTTGTACATGGTTTCTCTTTGTGCTTGGTACTATATGAACTTCAAAGCAGAAAGATAAACGCCCTCTTGTGCAGACAGAGCTGAGGACAGTATGTGATTATCAATAGAAATAATACTGTCCAGGTCTCTTTGAATAAAGGCTGTCTCTACAAATGACTGCATTCTGCTAAAAGAAGTACTTTTTCTCTCCCTCAGTAGCCTAAAAATTTATATTGCTTTATTGCATTAACATATAATTAATGGTATATTACTTAAGCTTTTAAAGACAACTGTTTCAAAAGTATTAACTGACATACCATGAGTCTGAATTCTCTTTTTTATCATAGTATTATGTATGTATGGGAGTTGCAGCAGATGTGGTTTTCCCTAGGCTGTTCCATCAATTAATCTTCAACCTCAAAGTGAAAACTGTGTCTATTTTAGACTCTTCATATTACTAAAGTGATGTTTCTTTTAATTGTAAGTTTGGAATGGGTACTTTGTTGCCTTTAAAATTATCTTAATAAAGGCAATCAAGTCGTGTTAGAAGCCCATCAGAGTGCTATTTTTTTGCAAGACCTGTCAGTCAAAGCTGCTGGTCCAGAGCTTACCAACCTGGACTGTGGTCCCAGTGTGCCCTTTAGCTAAACCACAGGATTAAGAGGAAATTAAGAATAAAAGAGAGAAATGGAAAAATGTTAAAAATGCAATATACTTGAAATGGGTAGTCAAAGACTGGAACGGGTTGCCCAGATCGTAGAGTCTCCATGTATGGAGATATTCCAAACCCAACTGGACACGGTCCTGGACATCTGCTGTAGTTGTCCCTGCTTGAGACGGGGGATTGGCCTAGATGATCTCGGGATGTGATTTTGTTATTCTCTGAAAGGTGATGCTACAGCAGTGCATGTCAGGAGCCAAAGACAATGTGCAGTCCACTGTAAAGAAAATGTCCAGAAGTCACGCTGCACAAGACATATGTAATAATTGAGTGCTGAGGATGACTCTAGACTAGTAAAATTAATCATGGTTAGAATAAGCTAATGCTGACTTGGCACTTTGACAGTCTACTGAGATCCACAGCCTGCAACACCGTTACCTCCCTTAACTGTACGGGATGTGTATTTTAAAATGGGTAAGCTAGTAACTTTATCACTGAACAATTAGATGTCCCCCAGAATTGCATTTCTGCTTCTAATAATATGCAAAGTACTGCTTAAAACTGCATCCATTAAAAAATGTTAATGAATACCTATTTTTGTAACACCTTGTTTCTCCTTATTGGACAAGTTCTCTTTGTCTTCACTGCTTTCAGGCATGCAGAGGCTCTGAATTTGATGAAGGTATACAAACTGACTCTGGACCTGCAAATGACACTCTGGAAACAGATGCCAATCCAAGATACAAAATCCCAGTAGAAGCAGATTTCCTGTTTGCATATTCCACGGTGCCAGGTAAAGAAAAGGCGGTCAGGGTGGGGATAGAAGCCTAAAAACTTATCACCCATATTGACTTGATTGTAGACTGGCTCTCACTGATGATGGACATTGGTGGACAAAACACTAAGGCCCAGTGCATGTTGGGCCAGTGTGTTGTATCCACCCCTTTTACACTAGGTATAGCGGAAACAGGAAAAAGCCCAGATTTGGCAGGTAGGAAGACACAGACATTGCAGATGGTGAAGGCAGTACTATTTTCTGGGAATCCTGCCCTTCCATGTCCCAGTTTAGTGAGTATGTTGAATATGTGATGAAGGCAGGAAGAGGAAGAGGAACAGTTACAGCATGAAACTTATTCTTAGAGGGGAAAAACATGAAATCTTACTTCTTGCAGATTCCCAAATGCAAAAATATAGAATGGTACTTTAGTCGTGTGAGGTTTGGAGAGTTAATACACATTATTTCCCACTTTAATGAAGTAGGATATGTGACACAAGTAATAAGAATTAAACTTTCTGTGTGTGCATTGTTACTCTTTGCGCAGAATCTTTCACACAAATTAGTACATATCTCTCTGCCATGCCATTCTTCAACACAAGAGAATAAGAAAAAAGAGGAAAAATAACCCCATGTACTTTCTTATCTGTCTTTCCTGTAAGGTTATTACTCCTGGAGGAATCCTGGAAGAGGCTCCTGGTTTGTGCAGTCTTTGTGCTCTGTGCTAAATGAGCATGGAAAACAACTTGAGATCATGCAGATCCTCACACGGGTCAACTATGTGGTTGCCACAAATTTTGAATCACAGTCCGATGATCCACGCTTCAGTGAGAAGAAGCAGATACCCTGCGTGGTCTCTATGCTCACTAAGGAACTTTACTTCTGAAAGTGTATTTTAATGCAGCCAGTGATGAAAGATCAGGATATGGTTTTGGGTGGAGATTTTATTATTAACTGGAGTAACACATTTTTAATAAGAGAAATATAATTACACTAGGTTTTTATATTGTGTAAGCTGGGGTATCTGATGAATGGACAATATGCAAGATCTTTGAAGAAGAAATAAATGCTGTGGGCCAACCTGACAGCTAATACTAATTACTGTATCTTGATTTCCCTTAGTGTGGCTGTCATGATTTATGGCTACTGAAGATGTTCTGAGAGTCAGCTACCTGACCCATAAAGGTTTATTCCAGAAAACAGATTGTAAATTAAGAACAAAAAAAATAAATCGTGAGACTCCATCTTTTATTTCACTGCTAGCTCATGGAACCGTAACTTCCTCGGGAATTTCCAAAGACCATCATATTATGGGTATGTCCAGTGATGAAACAGTTTGTAGCTATTTAAAAGTGTGTTTCTTAGTCTAATATATTCATTTCCTTTTTATGAACATTATTAATGAAGAGTAATGGTTGCTCTGTGCTTAATCTGGAAGTCAATTTACTTAGTTATCACTTTAGCATAAGATGGATCAATAAAACCCAATATTTGTAGATTATTTACCTGAATAGTATGGACATGTAACAAATAGAAAAATCAAAATGAAAATCTTTGTAGAAGATTGGCAAACTGTAATTGGATGATACCTTATTAAAGCACCATTGTAAAGATTTTTGCCTTGCAAATGACAATTAACTCATAGAATGGCCTGAAACAGTGGTATTGCAGTTTTTCTGCTTGCAGAAATAAAAATGTCTGCTTGTTGATTCAGAAGTTTTGAACCAACAGAAAATTAATGCCAAGGCTTTGTTATAAAACATTAAAATTTAATGTTGAAATGATAGAATTGTATGGTCCAGTAACAAATGTCTGTTTAGATATAGCTTGTATTTGTGAGGAATTTTGCCAAGACTGGAAATACTTACTTGAATCAGAAACCAGAAGTGCCTTTTTAGTTACTGTACGGTCTTGATTTTGTATTTTGGAGTTACATCAGTGATGTTTATATTCCTACTTTTTATATTCTTTTTAACGTTTGTAGCTAGCTCAAAAAAGTAAGTTTAATGATTTGGTTAAACTGATAAATGATTAGTTGTTCACCCTTTTCACAGTTAATGTACTCCGTACTCTTTTGAAATCTTCTAAGAAAATAAGTGCATACTATTAAAGCCAAGTTTATTTTCTTACAAATACTGTGGCATAGTGAGGCATATATTTTTTTCATAAGTCAAATTTACAGTTGTTTGAATTAAATAAATGATTGTTTTATGGATGTCTTGAGAATGAAATCAATAAAGACCTTTTTTTTAATTTCCTATGAATATCTGCATGTTCATCACTCAATCTGGCGAAGTGAAAACCAACCAAAATACATCCCAAAACCTTTCTCAGCCAAGAATGCAGAAGGTCTTCAGCATCTTTTCAAGATGAGGTTTACAGTGTCAGTTGAAAAGTAGTTTAGAAAAGTAAGCTGGCATGGGGTGACTTGGGTTAGGCAGGCCACATCCTCTCTTGGAGTAAACCAAAATTATTGAAAAAACTTTAATGGAAATATCCTGATCGACCAGTGCTTAATCTCACCCTGTGGATAAAATGTCTCTATACAGTAAACTCTACAGTGGTCTAGCAGTTCACATGAAAATGTTCTTCCTATTACCTCTGGCAAATACCTCCATCTTAAACTATTTTCTGGCATTAGAGAGATTCCTATTTTACCATGAGAAATGTGTCCAGTCAACATTTCAGTATTCGTTACTTCTCTGGAAGCTCTTCCATGTCTTTATAGTTCATTAGTGTTTATTTGCTTAAGGTTTAGCCTGTTTTTGAATTTCTGTTAATGATATTCCCCTGTCTCCAAAACTATCCTTTTATTCAGATGCATTGTAGCTCTGAAGCCAGAGAGCCTTGGGAACAATAAAGGAGGAAAGTAGGGGCTGTGAAACAGGTCATTTAAGTTTTTAAAATAATGCCAAGGAAGGTAAACAGCATAACAGGTAAGGAGCACGTTTTCTCTTGTGTAGTGCTTTTGTCTTCAAGGTTCTTTGAGAATGGTATTTTATTTTAAAAAAGCTACAGCAAATTTATCTTAGCTTAGAAGCACTGGGAGAATATAAAAATTACTAGAAATAGTCCCTGGTCCAGCACAAGGGACTGCTGAGAAAGAATCAGAGGAATTGATATTAGTGAGTTTGCCCTATGAGTAGGAAAAGCTATTTGGCCTATTGGAGATAATGTCTAAAAGAAAAACAAACAAAAGTGGACAGAGCGAGTCTTTATCAGATTTTGTTGTACATTTACCATGATGGACACTAAATAAGGACAGCTTAGGAATTTCCAACTAATGGGTGAAATAGTAGCTGTTTGTCTAAGAAAAAAGGCAAAGTAGTAATGTTATTTGAAGCCCTTCAGTGCTCTAATGTGGCAAGCCAATAAGGCACTCTCAGCATTTGCAAGGGGTCTCCTGATCGACCAAAGGTTTCCTGGAAAAAGATGATAGTATCATAGAATCATAGAATCGTTAAGGTTGGAAAGGACCTCACAGATCATTGAGTCCAACTGTTAACCTAACTGCCAGGTCCACCTCTAAACCATATCCCTAAGCACCACATCCACATGTTTTTTGAATGCTTCCAGGGACTGTGATTGTACCACTTCCTTGGGCAGTCTGTTCCAATGCCTAACCACTCTCTCCATGAAGAAATTTTTCCTAATATCCAACCTAAACCTCCCCTGGTGCAGCTTGAGGCCGTTTCCTCTCATCCTAGCACTTGTTACTTGGGAGAAGAGACCGACCCCCACCTCGCTACAGCCTCCTTTCAGGCAGTTGTGGAGAGAAATAAGATCTCCCCTCAGCCTCCTCTTCTCCAGGCTAAACAACCCCAGCTCCCTCAGCCCCTCCTCACAAGATTTGTGCTCCAGACCCTTCACCAGCTTCGTTGCCCTTCTCTGGACACGCTCCAGCACCTCAGTGTCCTTCTCGTAGTGAGGGGCACAAAGGAGCACAGCAATTCTACCTGCTGACTTACAATGAAAGGAAGAAGTTGAGGCTGAATCTTAAACAACCTTCAGGCTAGTTCTGGTATATGAAATAAACAAAGATGAGCATAAAATACCTGAAGACACTGCCAGAGAGGAAAGCAATTTGGAAAGATAACTTAGAGTCGTAGTGAAAGAAAGAGAGAAAAACATTCCCTTGTGTCGGGACCAGTGTCTCTGCTAGATGGAGCATTACTTTAAATCATGTCCAAAAAATATTATTTAAGAGGAAAATTTCCCACCAACAGACATCACGTCCGACTGGTGATGTTTACAAGCTGAGGGCTGTGCCAGCCCAAGAGCCCGAAGGAACCCATTCATGAGGAAGCCTGGCCCTTTCACTTGAGCAAGGCCAGGTAGCTGAATAGTGACTTAAAAGCTGTAGAGCATTTTAGCTTATTTCCTATGAAATTTATAACTATTTTCTGTCTAACAGCAATTCCCTTGCCATCTGCAGTATTAGCCAAATGGGTTAGTGTGTAAAATCATTATCATTAATGATACGCTGGATGTTTCTGGTGAAAATCCAAAAAATTCACCTCTAACCAAGACAGACTGACCTTCAATGAAAGTACATTGTCATTCCATAGGTAGCATAAGAAATCCAGCTTCACCATTGTACGTTTTAGCAAATGCTGTTCTTTAAATCTGAACTTGGTTACGTTTTACGGTAGTTTATGATCTTTTAGTGTTCTTAACATTGCTCTATCTTCCGGTCACATGTGGATATTGTATTTTAGACACAGCTCAGGGGAAATGAAGGGACTGTTTAGAAAGCTGAACCAACAAAAATAAGCTGCCCCCAGGCTTTTTTCTGCATGGGAGACATTTATGGCTGCCTCAAACATGCATATTCTTTCATTGCTTGTAGGTGAGTATTAAACTTCTGGATTTCCCCTTTCAGAACAGTCTTTAATTTGCTTCCCATGGCAGAAACGGGGATTTCCTTGTGGATCATATTTCAGCGTGTTTGTATTTACACACGGACTATAAGAAGGCAGTCACAATGTGGGGCGAGGACACGTTTTGCTGCAGGAGGCAATACAGAGAATCTGGAAATACTTAAGGGTACTTCTACACCATAAAGATATTTTGCCTGTAAGTATTAACACAGTTTTCTTTCCTTATCTTGGTATTATATTTTTTGAGTTTTATTATAGCCTACATCTTAACAATTTGAAGCATTGTATTTTCATTTTGACTGAAGTGCTTCATTGCATTTCAGAAGGTTGAAAGTGATCAAATCTCTTAATGCCAAGCATACAAAAATCTGAGGGGGTATAATCATGGAATTGGCATTGCCTATTCTGAATTAGACATAACCTGTTTAAAATGTTGCTTTCCGTTGAAGAGAAAAGACAATTAAACATGACAATTAAAAAGTTTTTCCCAAAATGCAGAGTGAGATAGCACAGCCGGAGTCTCACGTGTTTTTGTCTTCCCACCTGCAAATCCTGACTTTTACTGAAACCTAGAAGAGACTTTTATCCTGTCATAGGCTCTTGGAACATTGTTTTGCAGAAATTGCATCATTTGCCAGTCACAGTGACTCTGTCAGTCGCATTGAAAAGAATATTACATTGCCTTTCATTGCAACCCCAGGCATGTGCCCTTACTATTGACACTAACAATTTGACTTTGTGTGAAGTCATTTTTAGTTTTGGAAATTGCTTTTTTGTCCTTTTTTTTGGTAGGCAATAGAGGAAAACCCTAGAAGTAAATTTTATAACAATCTGTCACAGCATTTGTACAAATCTTTCTCCCAAAAAGGCAAAATTGCAAAGGTTTCCCTAAAAAAAAAACCACCCAAAAATACAGACAGAAATGGTCTGCAGACATCTCCAGTGGACCTAAGTTTGCAGTGGGTCATTCTCATTTACAGCATGGTATTGCCAGGAACAGGAGGTGTGGAAGTCTATAGCTTTACTTGTGTGTCAGAGGTAAAATTTTGTCTGTAACCCACCCCACATCAGGTGAGTGAGGCCAGAAAATAACCAACCATTTCTGACCACCACTCCTGACCGTACCG